GAGGGATTTGGGAGATTCTTGTTATATATATATATATTTTTTTTCTTCCTCCCAGTGAGCATATGCAGACATCAAGTGCATCATTTTTTATTTTTAAAATTTTTTTTAAGAAACAAACCAGAACCTTCTAAGAACCATGCAAACCCCCCTGGCTCTGCTGTGCTCTAAAGGAAATGCCATGGGCTTAGGGTGTTTTAAGACACACAGGAGACAGATTTCTCTTGAAGGATGGGGATCTCCGGCTGTTTGCATGAACAGCCCCAATGTTGTAAAGCCTTTAGCTTCAGAGCCGGGTGGTGAATAACGTTGGCTTAACCTGAAATTTCAAGGCAGCGTTTTTCTGCTCCCTGAGATGGGGCTCCCTGCCCCTTGCTCCCCTGCAGCTAGCTTCCAGAATGTTAATTCTACGAGCCATGGTTGACTAAGCCCAGCACTAGGTCTATTATATATTATTTGATTTGGAGGAGAAGAAGAAGGAGAAGAAGAAGAAAAAAAAAGATTTAAAGATATACCCAGCCCTGTATCCCTTTGTGCTTGTGCCTGTGTCTGGCCATATACTTAAGCATACCATTTGCCTTGTGGCTCTACGTACTTCTCGCTGGACTCAGCTGGGGTTGAGCCTTTCTTGTGGGCTGCCTCGCAGACTGCGGTCGCTGGGTCGTCAGCTGCACAAATGAGCGATGTTGGGGAGGCTGCATGGAAGGCTGGGGTTCAACCCCGCCACAGTGCTTCATAGTATTGGTCTTTGTGACTGTTTCTGAGCTCAGAGTCTGTTTATCTGGCTTATCTCCACTGAATGCTCACCATGAGCAGCACTCAGAGGCAGGTCAGCACGTGCCCAGCCTTTCCAAACCTGGCAGCCTTTTGTCCGCCTAGTTCCCATGGCTGATACTTACATGTATCTTGATGGAGCTGAGTCTTCCTGTCTCCTTTTAAACATTTAAATTTTATTTTTATTTTCTCTGAAGAGCAGGGAGACAGAGACACAGAGAGTTCTTGCATGCATTGGCTAATTCCCCCAGATATCCGCAATAGCGAGGGTGCGACCAGGTTGAAGCCGGAAGCCAGAAGCTCCATCTAGGTCTCCTGTATGGGATTCATTACTTGCTGCTTTGCGGAGTGTACATCCAGAGGAAGCTAGAATCAGAAGCGGAGCTAGGATTTGAACTCAGGCACTCTGATTTTGCGTGAAGGTGTTCTAAGTTTCACCTTTGCCACTGTGCCAGTTGTCCATCTGCTTGATTGTTTTTTCAATCAGCATCTGCCTCCTGCACTAGGGACAGGTTGGGTCAGCTTTGGCCCATTGTTCTGGATTAGGAGTGAAAGAGCCAGCAGAGGAACCAGCTTCCATGTGGGATGCCAGTGCTGCAGGCTCACTACTCTTGGTTGTGGGAAGTATGAGTGAGTGATGTCAGAGCAAGGGATTCTGACATTTGCATACTGGAAGGTGGTTGTCCTGGGCATAACTGATTTGTTTATTTATTTTATAGCTATTCTCTGGGGAAGAGACAGAAATGAATGGCCTGAAGTTTTGCCCTCAGAGATAGCTAAGAGCAACAGTGTGGGAGTGAGGATCCTGGGGTATGTGGCTTCTAAAAGAGAGGGCTGGCACTGTGACTGGAGGAAGGGTAAGCTACCTTCTGTAATGCTAGCATCCTGTAAGGGTGCCAATTTGTGTCCCAGCTGTTCCATTTCCTCTCCAGCTCCCTGCCCATGGTCTTAGAAGCAGCAGAGGGTGGCCCTCATGCTTGGGCCATGCCACCCCCATGGGAGACCCAGAAGAAGCTCCTGGATTTGGTGATGAACCAGTTGGGTGGAAGATTGATCTCTGTCTGACTTGCCTTTTCACTTTGTAACTCTGTCTTCGAAATTAAATAAATTAATTTAAAATGTGATAAGGGAGAAAGTGGTCAGAGTTGTAAGAAAGGGAGCTGGAAGGGCTAGTGCAGTGGCATAGCATGATAATCCTCCACCTGTGGCACCAGCATCCCATTTGGGAGCTGGTTTCCGTCCCGGCTGTTCCACTTCTGATCCAGCCTTCTGCTTGTGGCCTGGGATAGTAATGGAGGATGACCCAAGTTCTTGGACAGCTGTATCCATGTGAGAGAACCCAAGGAAGCTATTGGTTCCTGGCTCCTGGCTCGTGACTTCAGATCAGCTCAGCTCTGGCCATTACAACCATTTGGAGAGGGAGCCAATGGGTGGAAGATCTCTGTCTCTCTTTGTCCTTCTCTCTCTTTAAAATCTGCCTTTCAGATTAAATAATCTTAAAAAGAAAGGGAGCTGAAAAACTGGCTAGGGCAGGAATGAGGGCATCCTGGAGATGGTGCTGTGTGCCCCTGTAGGCTGTCCTGAGAGACAGGGTACACCTTGGTGAGCGATGGCTGAGGCCGCCGGGTCACTGGTAGCGAGGAGCTGCTTCCAGATCATCACCGTCAGACACCACAGATGCTCAGACCCGCCGCCGCCCCTGACGTCAACCACAGGGCTGCTTGGAAACAGAGTGGAGACAGCACAGCCTGGCCTAAGGATGAGTCTCTCAGTCCTGGGCAGGAGCGTGGTGCCACCCCTGCAACCTGCCCCGATTCTCCCTGGGCTGTTCCCTGCAGGTCCTTCCTGTGGCAGGGGTGGCCCTGCAGCCTGGCTGGCCCTTCCCACCCCCTCGCTTGTGCTCCTCTTGGAGGACTGCCTTGGCTGCTTTGCAGGTGGGCTCACTCCCCACCCTCACCCCGATATACAGCCCTGTCTAAGGGGCTCAGTACATGTTTTGAAAACAGCTATGCGTGAACCAAAATAAGTGTTTTTTTAAATTGAATTTTCCATAAACTTTCAGACATATCCTTGTATTTCTTTCAATAAGTTTTAAGTTAAAGTTTATTTATTTGAAGAGCAGAGCAATAGGGGGGCGAAATGCAAAAAGAGACAGATATGCCATACATCTTGCTGTACCTTTGTAGAGGGTGGATTTTTGAGGTGGTGACTGTGAAGGTCAGGGCAGTAGAGGGCGAGTGCTGGAGGGAGTGACTGAGGCCTCTCAGGAGCACCTGATAGCCGGAGCTGATCCATCCCAGTGCTGGCAAGTGCCTGGCCCTGGGGGTGAGCAGTGCCTTAGCTCAGCCTGGCTACAGCCTGTGTGGTCACTAGTCACCAAGTCCCAGGCAATGAAGCTGTTTCCTTTCTGGAAGGTTTTGCTCTTGGGACCTGCTTTCATATTGAACAACTCAAGGCCAAGTCCCACAAAACGCATTTTGTCTCCCCTGGCCTCGAACCCCCATGTGGATAAATCACAGTGTGTTTTGAAATGAAGGAATAGAATGGCTAATAACAGGGGACACCAAAAGGATTCAATCTTGTGCTTTCTTAATTTATAAACCCAACACTAAAGTGTGCTCCTTTCCCCCTGCTTTCCACCCACTTCTTGAGTGGGTAACTTCTGTAGACGTTTAACGTACACATACGGAGCCAGGGTACTTTACAAAGTTCACGGGAGGGGCTGATGTTGTGGGGGAGGGGTTAAGCCCCACCTGTAACACAGGCGTCCCACATTGGCTCCAGAGACCTGGCAGCTCCACTTCTGATCTGGCTTCCTGCTAATGATCCCGGGAAGGCAGCAGCTGGTGACCCTGTTGCCCATGTGGGAGACCGAGGTGGAGTGGAGGCTTTTGACTTCAGCCTGGCTCAGCCTGAGCTAGTCTAGCCATTTGGGAAGTGAGTCAGTAGATGGAAGATTCCTCTCTCTCTCTCTGCTCTTCAACTAAATCTTTAAAATCGAAGTTGGTGGAAAATGGAGTTAAAAGATAAAGTTTAGGGTATAGGTGCTGCAGTGCAACAAGCTAAGCTGCTGCCTGGGACTCCCTATGCCTGGAGTGCCTGGGGTTGGGTCCTGCCTTTGCCTCAGCTTCTGATCCAGCTCTCTGCTGAGGTGTCTGGGGGGATAGCAGATGATGGCCTGAGCATGTGGGCCTCCAGCATCCCCGAGGGAGTCCCTGAGCTGACCTGGGGACTCCTGGCTTTGGTCTGGCCCATGCTGTGGGTAGCTGGGGAATGAACCAGTGGATAGAAGATTTCTTTCTCTGTCTCTTCCCCCACCCCATCATTGTACCTTTCAAATAAATAAATAAGACCTTTTTTTTTTTAAATGTTTATTTTGGCACAAAAGTTTTCTAAAATTCATGTGTGAGTTTTCCATAACTATTTGCCTGAACTTGTTAAAGACCTTGTGTGTGTGTTGGGGGGTCTTTCTTTGTACACAGAATGTCGCACAGTATACGTATTGTGTTGTTCCCTGTTTATTTTGCTCATGGCAGTGTTGTCTGGAGGTTCTTTGCATGTCAGTTCACAGACCCATTCCTTCCACCTTGCAGGCTGCGCCATCCACATCTTGAGCCCCCAGTGCCCATTAACGACCTCCTGCTGGGTGGTTCCCAGCCTTTTGTTAGAAGAATCTTAGGCATCCATCATTTCCCACAAGCGTCACTGTCAGACAATGGGCAGATGTGGTTCTGGTACGTTTGGTCACATTGTCTGGCGCAGGTATGTGGCCGCCTCCACCAGGATGGCACGAGCGGTCATGTGTCCCCATAGCCTTCCTGCCATAGTGTTTCATTGACTGGTCACATGACATGGTGGCAGATTGGGTTCAGGGTCATGACATAAGAAGGCTGTGCAGTCCAGGAGGGGCAGAGGCACCTGGCGATGGTGGCTCTGAGTCAACCTGCGCTCTTGTGCTTGGGTTCTATGTGCCTCTGCGCTGTCTGGGTCTCAGTTTTCTCTTCTTCAAGTTGGGAAAATGCTAGCAAATTTGGGGTCATGGCCTGGCACATGGCCTCAGGAAACTTGCAGATGACCTCAGGCAAGGCTGGCCCTGACTGAAGCCATAATTAATCTCTTCCTTGTCCAGAAAGCTGGTGGCTGGGCTCTCCCAGGCCCTCTGCCGGCCTCAGTGTCTGGCCTGCCTCGCTTTCAGTGCTTGTATAACCTGTACTCCCCTTTCCTCAAAGGCATTCAGGAGTCTCCGGTGCCGAATGGTCACTCGCTCCCGGGCAGAGATTTCCTGCGGAAGCAGATGCGGGGAGACCTGTTCACACAGCAGCAGCTGGAGGTGCTGGACCGCGTGTTTGAGAGGCAGCACTACTCGGACATCTTCACCACCGCGGAGCCCATCAAACCCGAGCAGGTATGCCCATGACTCGTTACAGCTCGCACCACCTGCCCCTGCCAGCAGGCCTGGGGTGCCGCCCTGACAGCAGCAGAGGCGTCTGGCAGGTGTGGCTTGGAGCCTGCGGCTTCTCCTTGGAGGAGGTGGGCTTTCTGGAGCTCTGGGCTAATGCTGACCAGTCATGTCATCCATGAGACCAGGGTGGCTCTCCTTTGCACAGGCATCGGTTACCTCCATCTCAGGCTGGCTGTGGGACACGTGTGACCTGCCTGGCCTCTCGGACCCTCTCAGGGCTCTGTGGATAGGAGCCACTGTCCTGTTGTTCAAAGTGGTAGCTGAAATGTATGTCCAGCAGTGTGGCAGGATAGGGGGGAGAGTTTGGGTGCTCACCAGCATGAGCAAGGCTGCGATGGTGCTGATGTGGACCCCTTCTGCTCACCTGTGGGGTCATCCTGTTCTGCTCTTAAGGACTGAATCTCTTAAAGCCCAGAGATGAAGATGAGTCTCCTGGGACAGTCTCTCACCAAGAGGAGATGGGGCAGGAAGTCCTGACCTTTCCTGGGCTGGGGAGCAGTCAGTCACTGCTGTGGCTGTAAGCTGGGGCCTGCAAGACCTGCAGTGAGAGGCCCCTTGTAGGATGCTGTTTCTGATGCTCAGTGTGTGCCAGATCTCCGTCGGTTACCTTGGAGTCCAGATGACGCTGACACAGATCGGGCCTGGTGGGTGACCCAGGCAGCCTGTCCCTTTGGGCAAGTGGTAATCCTGGGACTGACCTCCCAGAGTTCCAACTCAGAGTTCACATAGATGACACTTGTGCAATTGCCCTGAGTATGCCGTGTGCATAGCTGCTCTGGGGTGCTGGGTGCCAAGGAGTGGGGGGAGCCGCAGGGGCTACCACCATGGCAGCTCCCGTGGGAGTTCTTGCATGTTCTCCAGCCTCTTGGTTTTCCTGGTGGGGATTTGGAAGCCTGGAGAAGCAAAGTGACTTGCCTCAGGCCACCAGCAAGCCAGTGATTGATTTCATTAATAGTGCTGGATCTCTAACTTTGTGCCAGGTATGGAGGCTGGCACCATGGAGCATGCATCAGTGGACAACACAGGCCTCTTCTGACATTTGGGGAGGCCCAGATGCATGCTGACATCACCACTGATATGAATTATTGAGAAAGTTGTGTCTTCCAGGTGTGCTTGGCACCAGGGAGATGTTTGAGGTTTTCCAGGAATTTTTCCAGGAGTCTAGAGCAGAGGCTGAGGCAGCCTGGAGCTCCCCTCTGGGGGAATGCATTTCTGCTACCCCTGAAGGGGTTGGGCAGACCAAGGAGAAGGTGCTGGGGATGGAGGGAATACACCTGGCAGAGGGCCTAGCAGGTGCTAAGGCCCTGGGGTAGGAAGGAGCATGGGTGAGGGGTGAGAGAGAGGTGGTGTGGCTAGGGCATAGGGAAGGGGGCAGGTGGCGATGTTGGGGTGTCAGGCCTTGTCTTGTGGGATGTAGCAAGGAGCACAGTTTTTCCCCCACAGTTTAGGAAGGACAGGGTGTGCTGGATGGAGCTGATGCCTGTGCTGCAGCTCCCGAGCTGTTTGCATGACACGCAGGTGCTGTCAGCCACTCAGAGCTCCCGTGAAAGATGGTGGTGGCCACAGGATGACAGGGAGACGTCACTGTAGTTTGCTTAGTTAGGGCGTTCTGCATTGGAGGCCCCGTGTTGCAGGGCAGCTCAGGACCTGAAGCCTGGGCGCAGAGCACACAGCTGAGCAGAGTCCAGACCCACCCTTGCATTCATCCCTTGACTTGCTCTCCTGCAGGTTCAGAGCTGGGCACAGTGCCAGGCACCTGGGGCATGGAGGGAGGAGTCAGGAATTGGCTCTGCCTCACAGGTGTAGTGTGGCCTGTGGATTTAGACATCACAGCACCAGAGTACAAAAGGTCCTGTGGATCCACAGGAGGGGTTGCGTCAGGGAGGGAGAAACCACTGGGGTTGGAAGAATCAAGGGAGACGGCACCCTTGAAGGACAGGTGGTACAGGCTCCTGCGTGGGAGGAGACCTGGTTCACTCTGTCACCTGGGGTGACATTTCCAGCGATGTTCTTCAGAACACCATGGTCCCTTGGCAGGCTGCCTCTGATGGTGTGGACTTTGGGTGGGGGCTGCGGGTACTCACCATCGCCGTGATGGCTGGTTCAGGGTAATCGGCTTCACCCCATGATATGCCATAATGAGGAGGGATGACAGGTGAGGCTGCAGGCTGCCCCGTGCATGCTCACAGGCACTGGACTATGAATGACATGCCCCGTGCCCGTTCCCTAGTCACCTTGGACAGATGACGACTTGAGCAAGGGCCCCTCCAGCAGGGCTGGTGGGGGGAGTCAAGCGCCAAGGGGACAGCTTCCTGGGTCCTGTCAGCTTGCTTGCTGTGTTGGGCCTTGCAAGTCCCCAGCTGGGGTGGTCATGGTGCCCAGAAGTGACTTTGAGCTGCCGGCACAAGGGGGAGTCTGGCTGCCTGTCCAGTCAGAGGGTGGGTCAGGCTGGCTGAGTCTGTGCTCTGGGGCCTGTGACCTGGGGTGAGGGGTCTTGTTGTCACTTCTGTCCTGCCACCCACAGGGAAAGAAGGGAGGGCATGTAATGGCCTTGGCATTTTCTGGGCCCTAGCCTGTTGGGCAAGGCTGTTCTGCAGCACCCAGTGGTGGTCACTGTGATGGTGATTGACCGTAGTACCAGCAGCAACCTGACCATTTCTTCTCCTGGGCATGGTGACATCTGGTTCCCATGGGCAGACTCGTGTTGGACCCTCAGATGCAATGTCCGCAGAGCGTCTAGCCGACATGAGGGAGTCCCATTGGACAGATGGGAGTGTTTTGCCCCCACTTGTTCACTCCATTTTCAGGCCCAAGGGGTGACTGGCTTATTAAGGCTCTAGCCTTGCACCTAAGGATGTTTGTCTTCATCTTGTGCAGAATGGTCCCTGGGGGCCTCCGAGGCCCTGGAGGACCACAGAGCCTGCCTTCCCAGGACCACAGAGCCCGACATGGCTGGCAGAGGCTATGTCCCCAGCCTTCCTCTCCATGCCCATGAGAAGGCGTCCCTCTCTGCAGGGCCAGGCTGCACTCCTGCTGGTATGAGCTCAGAGCCCGTCCTGGCCGTACTGCCTTTTCCCACCATGACCCTCCCCCTTCCCAACACCGGGGCAGGTGTGCATGTGTGGGCCCGGGCTCTGACTGGCTGTTCCAGCGAAGCTTAGTAAAAACCCTTGGCCCTGCGCGGAAGGGGTTAAGGCAGCCCCATTCCTGGGGTGATGAAACACTTCCTCTTCAGAATGGTTATTGAAAAAGCAATTCTGTTTTCCCTACATGTGGAGTAAGTAAAAATCAGCGTTGGAGGAAGAGAAGATGGGGGAGGAAAAATAAACCCAGCTGCGTGTGCATGCATATATGGGTCTATGTGCATGTGTGTATGTATTTCTTGCAGTGGAGTCAATTTCAGGAAAACTTGCCCTGACGTCTAGACGGGTACTGGCTGCCGGCAGAGTGGGTCCCTCCTCCGGCTGCCGCGCGCTGCCTGCCTGCCTGCCGTATTTACTCTCAGCAGACTATTAACCAACACCAGGCTATTAATCTGGCTTTTGAGCCTTCACTAAAGCCCATAAAAGCTCACAGTTGTCAAATGGAGTTCATTTTAATTTCCTTTCAATCACAGTAAATTATTCAGGTGATAAATCAGCTGGAGCAGCCTCCTGGCTGTAATAGAAACCCTAATTCCTGGCTAATTATCCAGCCCATTGCTGCCAACAGATCAATACGGGTGCAAAATGGAACGGGCCCAGGGCCCTCCCTCCCATTGGGTGGGAGACAGAGAGACAGCTGGGGAAGGGGGATGTGCCACTGACCTCTCAGGAAGTTCAAAGGTCACAGGGGGTGAACCTGGGAGAAGGCCTTGCCCCAGTCTTAACAGAGAACGCCACCAGCGTTTCTAAGCCACTTGGCCCCCTGAAGGGTGGCATGTCTCCTGGCAGGTGGCTGAGCAGGACACTAGAACGCCTCTGGGCACCCTGCTGCTGCCGAGGCCTGCCTGAGTGTGTGTTTCTGAGCATGAGTGAGCCTGGTCAGCCGGCATAGCCTGACCTGGTGTGAGTCACAAGTGGGCTGGGGGCAGAAAGAATAGGTTCTTCCTTACTGGGGGGACCTCATCTTCCTCCAGGCTGTATCTGTGTCCCCCTGGGAGGCAGTAGGGAGACAGGTGTACCTGGTCAGGACAGGAAGGCTTCCTGGAGGAGGCACCTTGAGAGATGGGGCCGCACCCAGATGTCTGGAGGTGGTGGAGAATGCCTGGAAGGATGGAGGAGGGCAAGGGACAGCCGGTGGCTTTGAGGGTTGGGACGGAGGCTGGGGAAAGGACAGCAGGGACAGTGGGGCTGGAGTTGTGGGCAGACACCCAAACCCCAGAGGGCAGATGTGGAGGTGGGGACGGCCAGGGTCCCCCCAAGAGCCTGGGCTTTGTAGCCTGGCCCACTCCGGCCACTGGGGAAGCAGCCTTCCACCTGTTTGCCTGGTCCCTATAGCGGTGCTTCTTGCCTCTTGAAGCTCACTCCTGCGTCAGAGCTCCTCATGGCTCCCCCAATTCCCTTCTCTGGCCCCATGCCCCTTTACTCACCCTCACAAAGAAGCTCTGGCTGTGGCCAGGCCCGACCCCTCCCTGTCCTGCAGGGGCCGGGCCCTGCCCATGTCTGAAGGAACTGCTCACTGTAGCTCCCCCTCTGCCAGGGCTGGCATGAAGTCCGAGGACAGCTCTGAGCATGCGCCACAGCTGCTGCTGTGTTGTCATTACTCTACAGGGGCTGTTAACACCCTAAGCTCCTGTTCACTGTGGCCTGTGTGCCCTGTGAGGCTGTCCCCAGCCCACTTCAGCTGCACAGACTTGTCTGGGCTCATCCATGCCTTGGGTTTCGTCCTTGCTGGCGTCATAGCAGCGATGGCGTTCACTGCTTACCACGGTTTTTGCCCCCTTTCCCAGAATCACAGCCACC